TGTATAAAATAATCTTACTGAGCTAAGATCTTTCCAAACATTTTTAAGACAGAGATCTGAGGCTAAAATTTGATAGGGGAGACCCGAGTCCAGGTCCACGTTCCGTTTGGTTCTGATTAAACTTGAACTTGGTTCTCCCAAATCTATTTGAGATGGGTATTTTCAGTTAGGCAACTGCCTAGAAAGCTAAGGAACCTGAGTTTCAAAGAATCAGAAACTACAACTATTGGAGGACCTTTACCCCATTGTAAGAAATTGTAATATATTTGCACATTTTCCCATCTTCTCTTTTGCCAGAAAAAGTGTTCTGAGTTAGGATAGAACTGGGCCAGAAATACGGCATTTGGGCCCAAATATGGCAAATATGCACAAAAATGGGCAAAGGGGGCATGGGGAAATATGTTGTATTTTAGCAGTCCTAAGTGGTATGCAGCACCTTCAAATGAGTTCCATGTTTGTGTGTGTTGTAACAGCATTGACGCTACTGTAATAACAATTGAAAGTGAAAAAAAACCACCAAGGAAACACAAGACTTTATTGACTTTATTGATTTTCTCTTATTTTAAATTGTATTTCTTTGGAGAGGCAACTTCTCTTCTAAGTTTGGTGTGCAGTGTCAGTTTTGGAATATGGATCCTGTTGAAGTAGGAGATGTGTTTTCTGTCTGGTAGGAGATGTGTTTTTCACACCAGAACATGTGTTATTGCAGTTGAATGTGGGATATTTAAAACGGGACACATTCCTTTCTAAATTTACGAGACTGATAAAAGTTTTCTTCAGACTTTGGCTCTGTTTTCTCTATGAGTGCCTTGAAAAAGACAGCTTAGGATATTCACCTGACTGACCTGAAATAGGCATGATGGGTGAATAATGTCATTAATATTTTCCCCTTGCCTTTTCTTTTCAACAGTTCCATGAACAATGAATTTCTCCTGGTCAAAGTATTGCCATTTCTGTCATCAAAAAGTAACTTGTGTGCTATCTATCTTAGACTTTCTTCCAGAGAATGACAGGTAATTTCACTAGCATCATTTCAGTGACAGTTTCTGCTTTAATCACACAACTCCGTTAGTGATGATTCACCTCTTTCATAAAATTTGCATTCACTGAATAGTATTGCACAGTATAAAAACAGCTATTGTATATATTCTCAAGTATTGTGATTTCTGTATAAACTAGAGAAAGGTAAGCTAAATATTCAGTAACCAATTATTTTGAAGTATGTGTAGCAAGAAAATAGTACTTAAAAGGATGCTATCAAGAAATACATGTTTTAAATTGACTGAGATATATGACTTTATGTTATTCAATCTGAAAACCTGTTTCAGCATAAAATCAGAATAGTGGGAGGATCCCCTCTAAGACAATAGCTGTAGTACGTGACTAGGAAAAATCAGAACAATGTGGACATGGACAATAAGCATAATTTAGAATTTCACTATGGACACAAGAAATGGCTTGTGATATCCCCTATTGTGACGGTATACAACAAGCTGAAACATTATTATGTTTGGGATGTGTTCTAAATGTTTCTAAAGGAGAGCTTCTATCTTTGCTAGCAGAATAAAAAATTATTTAGAATTAAACATTTAAAATAATGCAAAAACATGTATTTGTATGTTTAATGGAATCAGGGGTTAAATTAAGCAATTGTGACATTTCTAGAGTTTAGCATATCTTTTTATTCAAAGCATTGAAAGCCTGCATGCTTTAGTCCAAATATGCAGTTAGCATAAAGGTGTAGTAGGGAAAATCAAGCTCTTCTTTCTCTTCGGCAGCATCCAGTGTAACTCAACTGTGTGCTAGTAGGCCATACACTTTCTACTGCCAAGGAGTCTTTTGCTGAAGTCACTGAGTCACTTTTAAGACATTGGTACGTTATATTGTTTTTCTGCCATGAGCATATATGGTCTATAAACACACGTTAAAAATTTTGCGCAGTGTATGCATCTTTTTGTGTGGCTAAACTAATTAGAATTGATAACAATTTTATTTCTGTATCTTACTTTGTCTATAAAGTCTTGGAAGTAGAGCTTCCTGTTACATGTATGTGTACAGCATCTGATAGAAGTAGATTCATTTTTCACAAACATCTACATTTTTCTTTTTCATTTCAAG